AAACTCATGGAGTTGACTATGATGAGACCTTCTCACCAGTATCGAAGATTTAATCTATTAGGGTTATGTTCGCCATAGCTGCATTTCATGACTATGAAATATGGAAAATTGATGTCAAAACCACTGTCCTTAATGGGAAGTTGGCTGAAGATGTTTACATGAGTCTGCCATGGGGTTTTGTCAATGCAAAGTACCATAATAGAGTGTGTAATCTGAAATCCATTTATGCTGGGGTGCAAAGTTATTCATGATTGACTTTGTAAATGTTTGACTTTTTTAAAACCCACTTGCATGTGGAGTATTTGCCTTTTGACACATGTGTTAGTGAGAGTGAGAGAGACATGTAAACACCTCTATATAAGGTGGGTTTGTCCACTTGTAGAGGTGTGCTTGAGGGGTGTAAAAGTGAGTGTGTAAGTGTATGTTATTTATGTAGTCTAGATCTAGATACTTTTTGTAACACCGTATGCAATCAATACATATCTTAAACATCTAAATCACCATGTTCAGTTGTGCAATCTTTAATTCCGCATGTCAAACCATGTTCTTTGTCACTACAGCAGCGCCTACTTCTTGAGTCCGGATGCCGACTCGTTGAGTTGGTCATTAAATTTCCGCATCCAAGATGCTCCAACTCGACGAGTTGGACCTCAACTCGCCGAGTCCAAGGCCAAAATGCAAGCTACATGAATGAAATATATACCGGGAACCAGGTGCTACACAGGACTTTAGGTGCGTACGTGCAGCGTACACCTATATGTGTCTGGCATACGCCCCAGTTGGCCATAGGTTGCTTTTAAGGTCTTAACTCGTTAATACCTAACGTCTAACTTCATATCTAAGCTCATTAAAGCGTATTAAGCCATAAAGTTTAAAACTTTATGCTTTTTCATGTCTTAATGGGACTCAAACCATGGATTTAGCCTTCAATCTCCCTTAAGTGGTCACCAACTCATGCATGGTTGAGTTCTAACCTCGAAGATCCGATTTTTATGACTCCATGCACTCCTAAGTGTTCAAAAGGGCAGCTCAATGGTTTGGAGTAGTCCATACTCCATAAGACCAAAGTTATGGGACCAAAACTTCTAAATCTACCCACTAAAAGAGATCAAAGCAAGGAACCATCAAGGTAAGAACTTTTTATCTCCAAAAGCTTGCAATGAAGAAGATGTCCCTTGATCTTGAAGCTCCAACTCCAACAATGCTCCACCACCAAGTTCCTTCTTCTTCAAGATCAAAAAAGAACACCCAAAAACTCTCAATAAGCTCAACAACACTCTCAAGATGGTTAGGGTTTCGATATCAGCTCAAAAAGGTAATGGAGGCTGATAAGGTGAGGGGTTTGAAGGAGTTAATGAGCTTAAATAGGGTGTAAACCCTAAAAAATAGGTTTTCCCCCTGACTTACGAACGCCCTACATATGTATGGGTACGCCCAGTGTACGCAGGGGACACCCCACCTTATGCAACTATTAGAATACGCCTGGAATACCATGTGTACACCCAACATACTCGATCCCCAAAAGTCCAAATGAAGGAAATAATTGCTAAGAGTTTTACCTGACGAGTCAGGCGTTACAATTTTGCTAGTGTGTTGTAAGCGAGGTTATTAGTGGTGTTCGGTCGTGGATTTTGTAATCCTAATTATCAATAGGTATGCACGAGGCCGAGGAGATTTTATTTTTTACAGATCGAATTTGTGGAATGTTAGTCTGCATGATTGATGAATAGGATGAACATGTTCTCTAGGTTTTCCGATGCGACTTTGGAGTCTTCGAGCTATGATTAAGGATTAATTTCTCTTTATGATGTTTGATTGTTGTTTCTCCTACAGGGCACATCTTTTCGCTAAAATATTAAGTCGACATTGGTTTCGGAAGTGGTCGTGTAGGTAGGGCATCGATCCAGTGTTGCGGAAATTGAGAGATCGATTGTTAGATGTCTCATCCAAGATTAAACCTTGATTTTGTTTAGGAAGGCCTTGAGGTGGAAAATGCTAACCATGGTAAGAGATTTATGTCTTTCAGTACCATTGTAGTGGGATCGGTAGGACCCGTGAGGGGATCATGATGGATATAAGAGGTGATTGTAAGAACTGGTTTTGAGGATGGAATCTAACTTAAGTGGGGAAGAATTATAACACCTGTTTTTCTAGGATGGATCAGTTAAGCACCTAGATGGATCAAAGGTAAGATTTTAAAGTAAAAATCTAGTGTCATGACGTGGTGAGTGGAGCACCATGACATGGCATGCCAAATGCATGAAACGTGCATTTGATGGCTGTCACGACGTGGTAAGAGGAATACCACGACGTGGCAGCTATTGCAACCCAAGCCCATGATCTATTAGGGTTTCTTCCATATTTAAGCACCTATTCTCAAGGATTAAGTCATCCTCTAACCCTTCAAAACGAAATGCTAGCCTCCATGGATGATTAGGAGCTTGTTTGCTTGATTGAAGACCTTGTTCTTGGATTTTAGTGGAGCTTGAGAAAGAAGAAATATCATTTTGGTGCAAAGAAGCAAGGGACCGGCTTGGAATCATCATTTCCTTTAGATTTATGAGTTATTATAAGTATAAAGCTCTTATTTGGACCTTTGTTCTTCTTGATGCAAGTTTAAGTTCATTTTGTATGATTTTGGTCCTTGATGCTCTTAGAGTTTGAAGAACTCTAGAGCTTGTGATGGTTTTCTATGGTCTTTAAGCTTTTGATGAATAGGAAAAAGGGTTATGTTTGGAGTACCTTGTATTCATGCCTTAGTTATAGCCTCATTAAGGACTTAATGAACTTAAAGTTTTAGATCTTGTCTTAGGGTGAGATCCTAATTGATAAAGTTGGAAATTTTGTCCATTAAGTAATTAAAAAGCACTAGATATGAAGTTATGGGTTTAAATCAGTAAGGATTAAGCTCTTAATGAAGAATAGGTAAGTTGTTGATAACTCGAGGTTGCTGATAAATCCTTGTATGTTAGGATATAGGAGTAGTGGTATGTTGGTTAGAGTATCAGGAGGTCGATGATCATTTACTTGAGTGTTCTCGGGTTGTATGTAGTCATGTAGGATAACCTAAGAACTCTTGATCTAGGCTTTGTTGCATTTCCTTATTTTGGTTGTGGTTCGATAGTATGATCACCTGTTCGACTTTTTATCTCACCTCTTATTACATACAGTTATATATTCATTAGTGATCTGCTAGTGGTGGTGTAAAGTATTGTATGGGGCTCGATATGTGGTAGTGAGTCTTCTCACTATATTGTATATGTCATGGTAGGGTGCATGCTAGACTAGTTGGGCTTTATTTGTTGATTGCAGTTATGTGTATTTATCAATGTTGTAAAAAACGATCGATGTTGTCTAATCGGTGGACTAGGGTTAAGGGATCGGCTAGGCGGGGATTAATCGGGGACCTTATATTGCTAATTCATTGATTTTTAGAAAATTAAATATGACTAATATCATAACAAAGTTAGAAATCAGAAATTATCAACAAATCAGAAAATCATAAATCCTTTCTTTATCAGGAATTGGAGAATCCACCACCACTTGGATATCCAGAAATCAGAAGTTTATAGAAATCAGAAAATAGTAATTAGAGAAATAGAAATCATATTAGGACTTTAGGAGGGGGTGAGTGATGAGTGATGTCTGATGAGTTTAGATTGCATAGATATTGACAAATTCATATAAATAAGGAGAGGAGAGGGTATCCAGAAATCGGGCGACAAGAAATGAGAGTTAAGAAAAATTATTATTATTCTTGTGTTCTTGATGGAAAACAATAGACATGGAGAGGGTATATAGTTATTACCTATCCAAATAAATGTCTCTTGACCAATTGATGATGGGAAAACCAATGGACTCGTCGTCTTCTACATCTTGACCGTTCGTCTTTCTAGGCGATGATAGGAAAGATGGGAACCAGACTCCTACACAAAGTCTTGAAGCGACACAGCTGATAGCGGGAGGGAGATCCTGAACTCATTTGGGCCACTGTAATAAACGATGGGCTAAACTGATGCGCTCTCCTCTTTGCTTCCATGGGCCTGTATTGGGCTGGCCCTGCCTATTGGTGTTTTTTGTAGTTTATAGAGATGGTTAAATCTTTGCACCTTATAGGAATCAAGGTTCTTGACAATGGCACTCAAATATTCTTTTGGTTCACAACAATCTAACAAGTAATTAGCGATTGTCACTACCAACTCTATCGTGAAGGTTAGTTTAGTAGTTTCAAATCATTGTTTTCATCTTAATATTGAGTTTTTATTAAAGGTTAATTAACATAAGGTTAATATCGTGAAGGTGCATTCATGTTTCTTGTGTTTATATACTTTATAAGAGAAGCTAAACTTTTTCGTTTGTGTGTTATCTAATAGCAAAGTAAAACCAGAAAATATTTTTTTTTTGTTTGCATACAACGTGCAGAATTTTTTTTTGTTCAGTCTGTGCGTGACTTGGTCAGTAAAAGCCGAAAAGTTTTTTTCCTGTATAGTCCTCATGTTAAATAATCATTCTTTGCTTTGTCTCTTCTAGGTAAACATTGTTGACTAATTTTGTCTTACATTCGATTACTAGGTATAAGACTCGTATATTATACGGGTTTATTAAAAATAAAAATTTAATATCAATATTTAAACTTTAAATTTAAAATCAATATTTAATATCAATATCAATTTTAGAGCTCTCATTAATTATAACATTTATTACATTATAAATATATCAATTTTTTTTCAAAGAAACATTTATTTATCTCAATATTATAACCAAAATAAGTTATGATATGTGAACAAATCAGAAAATTACATGTAAAAATAAATAAATTTTAAAAATCTATTAAAATATTATGTGTCCAAATCAATAAGAACATGACATGTGCTAGAAGGTTTTATTTATTAATATAGATTGTTTCGTGATTTTATTTTATTCTTGATTGTGGCCTTCTTTATCTTTATTTTTTTTTAGGGTAATTGATCAGCTATTTGCGTATTCTCCTCAATTATGTCCTCAATTTTCCTCTTGTTTAATTATTTACACTTTGAGGAATGATTAACATATATTGTCAGTTTTCATTGACCATAATAGAATGAAAAAGTAACAAAGATGGCTCGTTTGTCAAAACAAAACAAATCATTCTGTTACATTCCTTGATGCCTATAATTATGCGCATATTATTAACACAAGTGCCAAAAAAAAAAAAGTCAAATTAACCAAACTAAATTTATCATCATATAAATTTATCCCTCATGCGCGATATAAGCTTGAACGTTTCCTCAGCTTCAACTTGTTGGTGCATATCAGATCCAGTAGCTCGATCTGGGTGAAAGCTAAGTAATGCTCGTTTATAAGCAGCACGAATCTAAACAATTAAAAAAAATTAAAAAATCATAAACCATAGATATTTTATGTTCAATTTCTCTATTGTTTTTTCCTTAGCGTGATTGTGTATCATAAATAATTAAATATGATAAACCAAAAAGAATGGAACTCACTTGAGTTGATGAGTCATCAACAAAGATTCCTAAACCACGCAACAATGAAGGCATATCATGACATGTCATTTCCAGGTTTTTAAGGTCATTTTGCACTTTTGTACGATATATTTCTTTCATGTTCATGTTTTCCTTTTCCTGAAACAACAGGAAACAAAATAATGTAAAACAAACAATGTTGACAAAATGACAAATGGGAAAGACATAAGAAATTAACACAAGAATTATGCAAAACCTGTTCTTGAGTTTCCCTGATTTCTTTCACACGTTGTATTTGTCTTCTCTCTATGTCTAATAAACGTGACTTTTCAGCTTCTTTTCTTTTCAGCAGACGTTGCAACTGCTTAGCTTCTTCTGCCTGTAGAAGGTAATATGAATTTTCCATCAAGAACTTAATTTCAAATAAAGTTTGAATTAATTTCTTATGTTTACCTTATGTTTTTCTTCATGATTACTAGTAGGTGTCTCTTTAGACTTTTCATCTATGTGCACAAAACCACAATGACCTTTTTTAGAATCAGATTCACTTTGAACGTTGGTTTTTTTCTTCAATGATGCTCTTTCCCATAGCTTTTGTAGCATCCCCTTTGAATCTACCATGAGCTCACATTCAGATGCATTATGATGAGTAGATGGATCATTCTTTGATTGCTTTCTAACACCATGACAATTGTTGGAATCTTTCCCAGGGTATGTCCTTTTGCATTTTGAGAACTTCATTGGAGAATGCTTACCATCATCATCATCATCATCATCAATGTATATGTATGACTTTGGAGTAAAATTCTTGTTGTTTTTTAATCTTTTTGAAGCACGTGATTTCTTTGCAAGACTTTCTGGTTTGGGAATATCGACATTACTGAAACAATCATTTTCCTCATCTAACATGACAATGTTTTCAGCTTCCACATTTTTCTTCCCCCTTCTTAAGTTCCCCATCACATAAAATTGTCTAGGCTAAGATTTTCTTAAATACTTTTCATTCGTCACTGCAAATTGGGGAATTATAATTGGTGAGAATATGAGCCATAAATCATAACAATAATATCAGATTCAAGATTGAAAGAGGTGGATTTATCACTTAAATACCACTAAGAAACCGAATATCGGAATATGACAAGAGACATTTTAGCCGATATGCATGAAAGACTCGTTCTATAAATGATGAAGAGCCCAAAAGTATCTGAAACAAACTCGTGATGTATTATTTTGTTGTATAATGCACACCATAAAAGTTGTTAACCACTAAACAGTGTTATATCATTTAGGTCATCCAAAACCCTAGATTACAAACACGAATTTATACACAAACCCGCATCATAAAAACCAAATTTGATCAATAATCTTAACGTAAATAACAAGTATAAGTAAAACTGAACTACTATTGAAAGATACCTAGCGCCAAAGTCGTTTTTTGGAATGCAGACATCCATCGCACAATGAAAATGATTACAACAAATTGATAGAGGGGAAAGAGTGAATATGAGATACGATTGAAGGGCTTACAAGTTTTGTGAGATAATGAGCAAGATAAATGGAGGCGATGGCAAAATGGAAAATGCTTTCGTCTGTATCCGATTCTTTCTCTGTTTTGAACTTAAATTGAATATTTTTGAAACGTCGATATGGACTCATGGGGGAGCGAGAGAGCGGGTTTTTTTGGGATCGAAAATTGTAATACAATTTACAAATTTAGTCCTTGGATTATTCTAGAATCTGCGGTTAACGTTTGTTTTTGTACAATGTGTATCCAAAATAATTATATTTAACTATTTAGTCCTTGAGATCGAAGTGTTACGTGATGATATTCTTTCAAAGGAATTTATCTTCTCTGATGAATTTTCATTTTCTCTAAAGTTGAAATTGATAAACTCATCTCTATAAACAAATTATCAAAGCGCACCGCTAAATAATTATATCATTCTTGAAAACTAACAAATGAAAGATATATATTGGGTAGGGTTTTGTATTATTATCAAAGAGAAGTACAAACACAATGAAAAATGAAGACATAATATATAAACTAACTAATTATGATTACTTAGCTAAAAGGGCCGATCATAAAACCTAATACAAGACAAAGCTCAAAGTTTTATTAGGCTAACATCCCCCTCAAACTCATAATGCAACAATAATAAGCATTGAGAGTTTGTCAGACAGAAAATATAATTGAGGAGCAGTCAACGGCTTCTCAAGAATATCAACAATCTGCAAAGAAGAAGGAACATATGGAAGGGAGATAGTGCCCTTCTAGAGATGATGTCGTGTGAAATGACAATCAATCTCAATGTGCTTTGTGCGTTCATGAAACACTGAATTCTTGGCAATTATTATCACACTCTCGTTGTCACAATACAAAGTGGTAGGCTGAGAGATGTGGACGCCAATATCTGCAACAAGCCATCTCAACCAAACAATCTCACAAGTAGCAATAGTCATGGCTCGATACTCATATTTTGTAGAAGATCGAGAGACAACATCTTGTTTCTTGCTTTTCCATGATATCAATGAATCTCCAAGAAAAACACAATACCCAGTAGTGGACTTTGTTGGGTTTTAAGCGTTCTAACACTCTTATGGTGTACATGCAACCCTATGTGCTTTGGATCTATGTTTTCTCTATTATACAGTCATACATTCAGAATTCCAAAGCATCATCCTAGCTAGCATATTATGAAGCAACTATACTAAAAAAAAGTTTAGTTAGATGACATACCTTTTGATGGAACTTGAAGTCTTGAACCTTTAAGAGCTTAGTTCCCCAAGTGTTGCACCTCAAATGGTTCACACAACACCACCAACAATTGGAATAACTTAAGAGAAGGTTATTTGGTTCACCCTTTATGAAATTCGGCTGCCCTTTTTTATGTATTCACTAGTCACCATTTCATGAACCATGGGGTCCTTTATATAGTGTGGCTCATTAGGGTTACACCATGTAAACCCATGACTTTCCATTTCCTTCATGATCCATAGGTTTTAACCTTCATGGAGTATCCATGGGTTAAGCCCAACATGAAGGACAATGGATCACAAGCCCACATATATAAGAATGAATGATTTACATAATCAATCCCCATATATTTAACTAGTCACTTTTGATCACAGAATTAATTCCAAATTAATTCTTGATCAATACTAATTAAATAATACGATTTCATATTAATATATTAGAACTTATAATATATTAATATAAATCAAAAATAATCTTTTCTCATTTGGCTATCCAATTGTTCTGATGCCATGTAACCCAAATGGACCATGCTACTCTCAGGTCGAATACATACCAATAATAGTTATGGGCTTAGACATCTAATCCAACAGTATCCCACTTGGATAAGTCTAAAAATATTATTTTGTATGACTCCAAGATCCCGACTAGAAATCGTAACTCTTAAAGTCGTTGTCGAACTCTTACCCAGTTAATGACGTGTCCATTAGATAAGGTGTAACGCCCGTAGATCCGGACTAGTCAATTTAGAGGCAATATGGGTCGAAAATGACTTTTTGGCAAAAGATTATTTAGAATAAATAATTTTAACCAAGTTATATTATATGTCACAAGGTTTCCGCACATATAAAGAACGCCGAAATCCGAGTTATAACGAAGAAGTTATGACCCGTCGAAGTTTCGTGACAGAACCGGCACGATACCGGGAAGCGTAAATAGTGAATTTACGATAGAGCGAGATTTAGCCTTAGTGCTCTAAACGAAAGTCGTAGAATATGTTAAACTAAGAACATCGATAAAAAGAACGCCCAAATCTGACTTCGTATAAGGAAGTTATGATTTTTCTAAGATTTAGCATAGCAGTGCACAGCCCGAAATCTGAATTTTAAATCGGTCGATTTTTAGCCGACGGGATCTAAATGAATGTTGTAGTACTCGTAAATACCAACGCGTAGATATAAAGAACGTCGATAATAGAGCTCGTATGCGAAAGATATGGACGAAGCTTAGTCCCTACTTTTCGAGCGCGGCGAAATCGATACAGTTTTGTAAATCCGAGATAGAATGAGAATTAGCCAACGAGGTCTAAATGAGAGTTGAAGATCTCATTAATAGGAACTCAACGGTAAAAAGACAGACAAAAATGGGGCTCGTATGCGAAAGTTATGGACGAAGCTTAGTCCCTACTTTTCGAGCGCGGCGAATTCGATACAGTTTTGTAAATCCGAGATAGAATGAGAATTAGCCAACGAGGTCTAAATGAAAGTTGAAGATCTCATTAATAGGAACTCAACGGTAAAAAGACAGACAAAAACGGAGCTCGTATGCAAAAGTTACGGACGAAGCTTGGGACTACTTTACTATACACTTCCTATAAATACAAGGGTGAACTCCTCATATTTTCTTCACACCATAAGCCTCTCTTTCTCTCTCTAACTTCTCTCTAGCCTCCCTAAACCCCTCCCAAGTCTACGGAACCTCCCTAGCACGAGAAGAAAGCCCCGGAGCGCCCGACGGCTCCGAGAAGAAAAGCTTTCGGCTTGGAAACGCTGCTCCAGCGAAGCCCGGTTTTTAATAAAAACTCGCTGTAAGTGAGCTACGCCTATACTATATTTAATATAGATTTTATTTAATTATAGTAACATTATTAGGACCTTAAAATAATTATTTGGGCTATTATTATGAGTTATATTGAGTGTTATTTAACGCTTATATAATAGTAATAATAGCTAGACTATTAATTAGTCGTGGTTAACGTTAAAAACTAAACCCTAGTGGTATTGATACTAGGTTTTGTCGAGGAAAATTGTTTTGAGATAACGAAGTGCTGTCTGAGTTCGGAATCACCACCTAATCAGGTGAGTGCATAGTCCCTTTCATCTTACACATAGATATGAAGTATTTAATATAAACTACGTGCTATGTGTGCATATTATCTGAATACTTGCTGTCTATGTTGGATGAACGTTTTATACATGTTTTAAAGGATTTAAACTGTATACGTATTTTATATATACGAATATGTGGGTATGATGATGGGTAGATAGATGATGAGAGATAGAAGATGACGTGAGTATACATTGGCAGCTATAGACTTAGTGCCTATGGGACAAACACCGGTAGCTATGGACTTAGTACATGTTAGACGTTGGTAGCTATGGATTTAGTACCTGTTAGAATTGGTAGCTATGGACTTAGTACCTATTAGTTAGACGCTGGTAGCTATGGATTTAGTACCTGTAGGAATTGGTAGCTATGGACTTAGTACCTGTTGAACGCTGGTAGCTATGGATTTAGTACCCGATGAGTAGATATAGCAGCTATGGAATTAGTGCTTTACGAACTAACATCGGCAGCTATGGATTTAGTGCCAGTCCTATAACCCTGAAAGTAAGGGACTTCGGAATAAACAAATGCATGATAGACGACTCTTAGGTTAAATCTTTAAGAGTAAAGAAGATAACGGGGATGGGTAATGGGTTAATTGTTTGATGATTAAACATAACAATTATATTATTGTGGGTTGAAAACCCTATGTACTCACCAGGTTTCCCAACCTGACCCACTCAGTTTATGTATATCACAGGTGTTGATATGAAGTCACTTTACACTGAGAGATTTAAAGAGATGTAGATCACTAGTGTAAATAAATGTAAGTTCTGTTTATGCTTATGTTTCTGTATTAACGATGACATCCCAAACGTTTTAAGATGAATAAAAATACGTTTCTTCGAAAATGTTTTAATAACGTATTTATCGTGTTTTTCTGGGAACAAATTCCGCAACCTTTTTATAAAATGAAGTACTCTGATTTTTATAAAGCATAAACAAAATCGGTCTTTTCTGGCCGTGATTTTGGGGATGTCACAGTTGGTATCAGAGCATTAGTTTAAGCGAACTAGGAATATGGATTTATTTCTAGACTTAAACTTAGAATGCTAAGCGATGATTGTGAGGTGTGAGCACTAGCTTATTTTAGGAATGATGC